CCAGGAACGGCGCGGACCGGGGAGCTGCGGCGAAGGCTCGCGCGGGCGCGCACGGCGGCCCCCCAGGCCCCGGCGAACGGCGGCCGGCCCACCGGCGGAGCGGGCGCCTCGTGCGCTGCAGAAATCAGGTAAGTCTCAGAGTCCCGGCTTCTTGCGCCGGCCCCGGGCACTACGGTGAGCCACCTGCCCTGGCAAACTTTACGCACCGGCTCCAAGGCTCCTAGCCCTAAAGTTAGTTTGTTTGCGGGGTGTGCCCCCGACGAGTGGAGAATAAAAGATGCGTCTCGGAGCAGATTTGCTTTGGGGAGATAATTTTTTTCTTCTTGGGCGAGGATTGGTTTCCAGGATGGGAACACTTTGCATCTCCACCTCCAGCGTGGGGAAATGCGAGGTGGGTCCCACTGGCTAGCCCTTAGCTCAGCGGATTTGGCTAGTGAAGTTGGAAAAAAAAAAGTTGTGAAATGCAAGGGTACTTAAAAGATGAATCCTAGGTCCGCGGTGCAGGGGGTGGAAATGTGATACAGCTTTTTGCCACAAACCTCTCCCTGCTCTCCAGCTCTGGGGAAACTAGGGCGGAGGATTCTTCGATTAGCGACCAAGTTTTCCAAGCCTCATTTTCTTTCCACTTTTCAATCTGCAGTCTTGGACAGAATCTTCTGCCGCGTGTATTTGCCAGGTTTTGTCTGGAATGGGCTATAGTCCAGGTTTCCTGAGCTCGGACCTGGTCTTGGCTGCTTTTCTCTTCTCTAAGGAGCCGTGCAAAGCTAACCAAGCGGCTAACAGACTACCAGGAACGGAAACCAGGAAGTGTCAACTGGGTACCCCAAGACACAGCACCATTTAGAAAATTTTTTGACTGATTGAAATGAATGAACAGCTTATGGGCTGTGCTTGTGCAAAGCCCCGCACGACCCTCCAATCCGCCTGTCCTTCCCTGTACTGCATTTACTTATTGATGTACAACAAGGAGATGTGCCCAGAGGAATGATTTAGTAACAAAATGGTACCGGCTACGGTGAAGAGAGTCAATTTCTGGTCCGAGCCAAAGAGAGGGGGACAGACAGCTCTGGGAAGGGGGTGGCCAGTTTGTTCACCTGAAATCATGATGTGAGGAAAACAGAGCTAGAGAAAGCAACGCAGAGAGGAGAGCAGGGAGGGGAGATGCGTGATGTTCAGGAGGGAGGTCAGAAACCCCAGCTCATATGGTGAGTAGGTAAATCCAGAAATAATTTTAAAATGATTAAGCAGGTATATATATATATATATATATATATATATATATATAAAGTAGGAGGACTCTACAAGCTGTGGTTTCTGTTTACCCCCACAGAGATGAATATCACACGAGCCGAAAAAGAATCTTGATCTGTAAATAGATTAAAAAACAAGAATTAATCAGAACAATGAGTCAGAGCCCTACAGTGTTTGAAAGGAATAATTGCCTTTGGAAGAGCTATTATGTCTCAATACTGAAGTCAAATGTGTTACTTTTGCTTTGCTAGTTGTGTTTACTAACAGTAACATGGCTTTGGCTGCAATTACCTGACATCTGAGGTTGTGGTTTTAACCCTTGGTGGGCTGTGGTACCAGGGAGGAGGTTCTGTAGGTTAATATTCATATCCATTTGAGCAACATTTACAAAGTGCCTAATATGTGCCAGTCACTGATTGCAATGGGACAAGTTCTGGTAAATGTGGTTCATAGAAGATATCTGATAGGGTTCAGCCTTGCCAGTGGAAATATATTTGCTCAGGAATCAATGATCTTTGAGTGTTTGCTTCAAGTCAGTTGAGATTCAACATGTAGTTTGAGGACCCTCGAAATGATCACTATCCACCCGGGAGCTAGAGTGAATTGCTGCACATTTTTGTTTTAGGTAAATGGTGAGGCTAAATGCATATGTGTGGCCCTCCTGTCTGAAGGTGGTATAACAGACACAGTGGCTAATTGATTTGTAGGGCAATAGATGCAGGCACTGGCTGCCTCAGACAATAACATTCACCTCCATGTTCTTCTCAATGTCTGAATATCAGTAATGTTAGCACAAAGACATGAAGGCATTAAGTCCATTCTCCAAGAGAACTCTCAACTTTTCAGCATCCTTCACAACCCACCCGGATAGCCTGATTATTCCTTAAAATGGCAGCAGAACATTTAATAGGACCAAAGTGCTGAGCAATTTCACTTGGAGCAAAGATTAGCTACGGACAGCAAGCTGTAGCCTTTCCATTGCTGATTTATGTTCAGTTTTATCACTGTCACATTTCATATATGCCCAGTTATTACAAACTAATAGCCTCTTCTCTCTGCTAGCAAAATAAGCGTCCTTCTCTTTTATAAGTTCCTAACTCCTCACACATTCGGTACGCATCTTCTCTCTTTGTTTTTACTGCGTAATTTAAGTGTGAAACTTGAAGTTCTCATTAGCTCTTGAAATGTTTTGTGCCGAAATGGTATACAGATATAATTGCCCCTTTAAAGCTGCCAGTTCTGTATATCACTGTATTATGCACATGGCTGGTTCAGTGGTCTGTGTTTTTCTAGTCACCGGTTAGTAAGGTCTTAGCAGTAAAATAATGTTAACTCCCAGTATGGAGACAGTCAGATGGATTAATTGATGCTGGCCATGTTTGCTTGCCATCTCTGATTCAATTACTGCCACCAGTTCACTTTCAAGCCTTTTGATCTTAGGGAGTTTGTCTCTTTAAAGGTGAGTTTTTCAGAGGTGCTCCTATGGTTTTAAAATGTATTTACGAGTCACTTATTCTGGTAGACTAGTTCTTATGCTTGATAACACTGCCTGAGATACTATCCTTTTTGCAAAGATGTTTGGCAGTAATTAGAGCATTGGGCTGGCCACAGGATAGTTGAAGACAGAACATTTCTTTGAAATTAAGGTGTAACAGATCTCAGTCTCAGATCTCATTTGTGTAAAAATTTCAGGAACAAATCAACTATGCTAAGTGGTTTTTGGTTTGTAGCACCACTCCCCCATTTATCTACTAAATATAGCGGAACATTTCTTTTGAAAATTTGCTGCAGGAGCAATCCTCCCCCTAGTCGAAACTTTGTATGCCAGGTTCCAATCCATGGTACATTTTTATTTCTCCCCTTTTATGTACATGTTATAAACAAGAAATAAGGGTTTGTAATAGAAGTGCTGGTAGAACTTTATGGCATCTCAAACAGCTCTGCTACTTGGAATGTAAATATTTGTAGAATCTTTACTGTGCAAGAAGCTGCCTTGCAAAAAGTGAGAAAAAAATGACTCTTTTATTAAGTAGGATAAAATAATTCAGGAAGTATGCATATTCCTTATTGCAGACATATTGGCATTCTGAGTAATAGATTATATATGTTATAGCAATTCCATAGCCCTCTCTTAGGTGCCTTTATAACTCAGATTGTAAATTTTCTGTGTTCTAAAACAGGAGAACAAATTTGTCCCATTTGTTTTTCTAACTTGCTTGACTTTGATTGCCTTTCAAATGTTCAGGGATGAAATCTGTAATTCAAAAACCACTTTGATTATATTGCTGATAAATGAGGCTGTCAGTATGCTATCTTTGGGAAAAAAGAGTGCTTGGGACCATTACAATACTACAAATACTCTTATTCTAGGGAATTAGTCCAACTCAGATCTTGTGTGTCCTTTCGATTGTGATATTTCTCAGATTTTTCCACTTCTGTCCATCTCCACTCACATGATTCTATTTTATTCCAAATCACTATCTCCTCCCAAGGGAAAACTGCACTGGTTTCCCTGCCTCCTCTCTTGCTTCCTCCCCCAAATCATTATCTGCACGCTAGTCAGGGCAGTTTTTTTCTTAAATGTAAGTTAAATTAATACTCCTCTCCTCAAAGCACTTACATGATTTTATATTGCATTCAGAACTATTAAATATCTACAAAGCCATGTAGGATTTAAACACTACCCCTGCGTCCAACATCATCTCATGCCATGCTTTGGGGAGAAAGAACTTCATAGGCTTCTGTCCATTGTCTGCAGTTTTGTTGACCTCCTTCCTATCTTAGGGTTTATTTTATCCCTTTGCCTGGTAGCCCATTCTATCCTTTACCCCCAAACACACACACACACACACACACACACACACACACGCACACACGCACACATGCACACCCCACATAGAGTTTGACAGCTGATCACACCTTTGGTCACAATATAAATATTTATTGAAAGAGTGCTCTCTAATCCCTCTGCTTGTCTCTTTTTGTTCATATCGCCCAAAGCACTTATCATAACTTGAAACTATCTCCTCATCTGATTCCTTGTTTACTATTCTGTAACCATCTTACAAACAGTCACCACATCTGTTTTACTTACTATTGCAAAGCAGCTTCTATCACAGGACGTGGCTCACAATGGAGTTTGATAAACCCATGGGAACTATGCTTTTTGGGGTGCTGAGTTTATAACATGTGGCTGGAGCACCTCTGTGACCAGAGATCCTGTCTGTCATGTTCATATTCAGCAGAGGTCTGCAGCTGACTTTTACAGAGTGTTCTGTCACCTTGCTCTAAGATCTCTAAGAACTTTTGGATATCTGCTACTTCAAAGCCATTGTGTCAGAATGGGAATCATCATTTTTCCTCCCAAGCTGGTTGTAGCATAAGGTGATACCTTCTTTCATCTTTTCTCATTGTGTCCTCAAGGCACATGGCACCAAGTGGTCTTCGGTACTGTCCTCTTTTGTCCCTGCAACCAGTCGACTGATTAAAAATACAAGAACATTCATTCGTGTGATTATCCACCAGCCAGGTTCCAAGCCCTTCACTGCCTTTGCAGTTCTTACCTAAAGTTCTTACTAAATGCAGCAGATGAAGAAACCACCTTCCGCCCCTCTCCAGTCTTTCTCACACATGCTGCTGTATTATTCCATGAACCAGAAACCTTGTATCATTGGACACCCACAGCCTACAGAGAAAATGCCACTGATGGAGCCTGTCTGCATGAGACTTCTCTTTTCTCACCCATCCTTGAACTTCCAACTTAACAGAGCTTTTTAAAACTTTCTTGAAAACCCAGGATGTTGCTTTTGGCTTCAAGATTCCTGTACCCTTGGCTCTAACTCCAAGCCCCTCATTCACATCTCAACTCATGTCCACC